ATTATGATAAGGAGCCCCAAAATAGTATAGATAACTATTATAAGGTCCCTATATTAGGGGCCCCAACCCCGGCTCAGGGCCTGCCTGGTCCCTAACATTAGCATCTGGAGCGTTTACGGATGCAAGGACTAAATAAATCTTGGAAGGGTTGATGGCAGGGCGCCAAAATTTTTACTATCGGGGCCTTAATAGTTAGAACAGGGTTTTGGGGAACATTAGACTATAATCCTGATAAGAAGCCCCAGAAATAGTACTGGTAATTATTTAGGCCCCTATATTACAGTGAACTGGGCGGTTTAGGGTTTAGGGTCTATAGGGTTTAGGGTGTAGGGTTTAGTTCTCCAGCCAGCCATCTGCTCATTCACTTCCGGCCGGGCCGAGACGCAAAACGTTAAACGTTACGGGGGATGATAGTACTGCTAAGTGTTCATACCCCTCCCTAGGCGATATGTGAAATCTTGAAAAGCAGACCCCCAGCCATGAAGCGGGTGGTTCTCTAAACTAGGGCTCTTTTGAGGGTCCTGTTTTCAAGGGTGCCGCCTACTTTGGGTTTCCTAAAAAAGGAACCGGGTTTAGAGAACTACCCACATCATAACGATGCTGCGGAGCACCCCTGGAAGAGTCCCACAACGAAGCCCTTAGGAACATAGGCGGTTTAGGGTTTAGGGTACGGGTGCAGAGCTTAAGATTTAGTTTAGTTTGGGGTACAGAGTTTAGGGCTAAAGAACTCGAAAGCCCCGGAGCCCCAAAGCACTCCCAAAGCCCTATAGCCCCCCTCCGACCAAAGCCGAACACCCTTCTTTCTTGCAGAGCGGATCGTGCGGAGGGGATGAAGGTCGATACGACGAAGTTTGTAAGGATGAAGGAGAAAGTGGTGAGATACTAAGTGGTTGAGAGTAAAACTCACAACCCCGTCGTATCTTACCACTTTCTCCTTCATCTACGTGGTTGAGCGTAGGGTTCAGGGTTGACCCGTCTTGCAACCGATAGACCCCTGAACCCTAAACCGCTTGTTGCAGCTGGGCTCTAAGTCTTAGCCAGACTCCTAGACCCCAAACCCTACACACTGTGAGCCCTAATGTTGGCAATTTCTGGTGCTGGTGACTTGGCTGCTGGTCTTCTTCTGGATGTGATTTCTCCCTGCAGTAGCCGAAGTTATGGATGCGGTTGCTGTCACTTTCGTGCCATGAAGATGTTTGGCATTGGGTGAATGGCTTCTCCGGGCTGATTTTACGGAGCCCTGCATGCACACCAACGAAAGCATGGGGGTTTAGGGTTTAAAGGTCTAGGGTTTTAACAGTTTAGGGTTTAGGTTTACAGGTTTGGGGTTTAGGTTTAAAGGTTTAGGGTTCAGGTCTTAAAGTCCTAGGGGTTAGGTGTTGAAGGTTTAGAGGGTTTAAGGTAGCCCTGTGCATATGCAACTTCGAGACAATCCCTATAAGGGTCCATGTGCCCAAATAGGATATACTGTGGCCTTAATGTAGTTCCTATATAGGTACTTTGGGGCCAATGTATATACTATTTGGGTACATGGACCCTTAAACCCTAAACCCTTATGGTACCCTTATAGAACCCTTTAAAGGAACCCTTAAAGGAGCCCTACTATTTNNCTATTTGGGCACATGGACCCTTAGATGCACACGAGACGTAAGCTGGCCTTCTCCTGCCTGCCACGCCATTGGCCCCGGGCCCCCCACCACATCGACTTGCTTAGCACGGTTTAGGTTTAGAGTTTAGGGTTTAGGGTTTAGGGTTTAGGGTTTAGGGTTTAGGGTTTAGGGTTCAGGGGAGAAAGATAGACACTAGAATATGCTGAAGTCTAATTTCGGAAGATCACACCGCCATACTCTATGAACCAAGTGCCCTAAACCCTCAACCCTACACCCGGCAGGTGCTACGGCGGATGAGAGCTGTGGCCTGTGAACGATTTCTCTCCATCGTCTGAAGGTTGCAGTGGGGCGTTTAGGGGTTTAGGGGTTTGGGGTTTAGGGTCTAGGTTCATCTGAACATTCCCATGTCGAGTTGCATGAGCCAGTGATCCCGGTGCCTTGGACCGGATACGTACACATGCATGGGTTAGAGCACAATGAGCCAAGAAGCACATGAACATCGGATCCAAATGCAGGCTGTACCTTACCTAAACCCACCGAACCACGCAGGTTACGGACTCGAGTACGGGGGATAAGGTGATTTTTGCATGGTTGCTTTCCTTCTATGCGTCCTGAAAAACCCTATGCTTCCAAGGACCTCGTAGTTAGGGCCCTAGACCCCATAAGGACCCAATAATGAGGTTCCTGGAAGCTTAGGGAAAGGCAAGTTGCTGCAGTGGCCTTAATAGTTAGAATAGGGTTTTGGTGCCCATTATACTATAACTATAATAAGGAACCGCCCAAAATAGTATAGGTTATTATTTAGGCCCCTACATTAA